CTAATTTTTGATTTTATTGTAGAGATGAGGTCTCACCAAGTTGCCCAGGCGGGTCTCGAACTTGCAGGCTCAGGCAATCCACTCACCACAGCCTCCCAAAGTGCTGGGATTACAGGCTGAGCCACCAAGCCCAGCTTTTTTTTTTCCTTTTAATCTTAGCAAATAAAACATCCTTGATTGTAAGAGAGAACAAGTGAGCCTGAGTGTGAGAAGGAAACTGTCCATGATGCAAGAAATAGAGCTAAATGATTTAATGTAATCAAGATAGCAGGTAAGGGACAAGGGAGACAGGGTGTGAGTGAGCTGGGTCTTTACTCAGCAGCTGGGAGTCAGCCAGCAACATCTGCAGCTGGTAACTTGAGCAATTGAGAAATATGGAACAAATGGGGCAGGCTATGAACAAAAGAAGAGCTGAAACTGTTAAGAGTAGGATGCGTGGTTAGGAAGACATGGGACAGGGAAATGTTTTTTTCTACAAGGCCTTCAGTGCTGTTTCACTTTTTAAATCAAGTGTATGTGACACTTTAATAATTTTACAGTTAAAATACAAGAATACAAAACAAAGGCATATTTACAGATATATCAAGTGATGTGTCATCCTAACCTCCATGATGAGGGTGAAAGTCTATGGGAGTAGAGGTTTTTTTTAAAAGTGGCTATGAGATTTCAATTGTTGGATGGGAGAGAGGGTCAGTATTTTAGTCTCTCTACTTGTATATATAGCTGTAGAGAGTTGACATCTTTCATAAAAAAATTTTTTTCTACAAAAGTAAAAGAAAGATCATGGGCTGTGAAGTCAGACAGGTATGAGTTCAGTTCTAGCTGGGCCACTTAGTACAAGTTGCTTAAATGCTCCAGGCCTCAGTTTCCCCATCATATAATGGAAGTAACTGCTATGCACCCACTTTGCACAATCACTCACATTGGTTGTAGGGACTGAACTAGATCATGCCTGTGAAGGTCTTACCGTGGCATCCTATGCAGCAAGTGTTTGGGAAATGTTTGGATATGATGTATTTGGTTGCTTCTATTTGGAGTTTTCTGAGGTTGATTTGACCCTCAAAGTTGAGTTCTGCTCCCCAGGCATCTTACATTTAGTTCTATCCCCCTAGTTGTGTTCTGCCTTATAGTCTTGATGTTGTTCTGTACTAACGTCCTGTCCTCAGCTAGCTTGCTTGTCTATTGAGTCAACAAATATTTACTGAGCACCTGTGTGTCAGACATTCGCCCGGGTGCTGAGGAGACAGAAACAAGAGCCTGTCCCTGACCCAACAACATACAGGTCAGTGGTAGAGAAGGCCTGGAAAAGATTACAACAATATACAGCATGACAACTGCAAAGATCAAGTATATCCACAGGGACTTTGGGGAGTATACAGAGGATGCCTGGTACAACCAGAGTCGAATTTTGAAGGATGGATAGGAGTTCACCTGACAAAGGAGAGGTTAGAGGCAGGTTGGTGTGGTTAGGCCATCAAATGCAGAGGCAGTAGCATGAGCAGCAGAGACAGTAGCATGAGCAGGAGCTAGAAGCTGGGAAGACTAGAGTCTGTTCAGAAAAATAATTTGGTCCGTGCTGGAGGAAAAGAGAAAACTTGGGTCCCTGTGTCCCAAGCTAAAGAGTTCACAGGAAACAGGAGGCATGGGAAGGTTTATTCAGGAGCACATCTCTGAATAAAGAAAGAGAGAGAGAGAGAGAGAGACAAAGATACACACACACACACACACACAGAGAGAGAGAGAGAAAGAGACACAGAGACAGAGAGAAAGATAGAGAAAGAGAGACGGGGAGGGAGAAGAGAGACAGAGAAAGGCAGAGAGAGAGGGAGAGACATAAAGGGAGACCAGTTGGCTGTCCATCGGAGCCTCCAGGTTCGCCGGTGCTCAAAATTTAGATTTTGTTGAAGCATCAGGGGAAAATTAAGCCCAGGGGGCAATGTCACGACAAACTCTTCTGACACAAATGCCCAGGACTCTGTTATAAGTATGCAGCAGTGGCTACATTTCTTTGGTGTCCAGCACTGGTGACTGCTGTCCAAAGCTAAGCCCTCTATTTCTTTCTTCCCCCAGGGACCAGTCATCTTTTATTAGGGTGTTCTCATTAGCATATGAAAGGATTCAGCAATGGTCAAGCTCCTCATGGAGGGGTGTTGGGCCAACGAGGTCATGGTGAGGAGAGCAGAGTGTGCCCTCTTGCGTGGTCACTCGTGTTTGAGCTCCTTGTAAGAAAGGCAGTAGCTGAAAAGCACGTAAGCTGCCAGCACCATAGAAACCCCGGAGATGCTCCCTTTCTTCCCATGGATGTGGATGTACTTGTTGTGGTAGCAGCGGTAACCTCTTTGGAACGCTCCAATAATGCCGTTAGGGGTGAAATCTCACGTCAGTATCCAGCTTGGCAGCCCCCTTCGTTTGACATCTGTGAGTTTCTTCTCCTTCACTGGTACGACTGAGGCCATCTTCGAGTCCTCAACCCCTGTGTTATTTCTAAGTTACCTGGAGACAGAGCCAGAACGTGGAGAGGCAGAGGGGTTTCCAGGGAGAGTGGGACCTGGGGAACTCGATGGAGGGCTTATCCTGATTATCCTGGCCCTTCCCCAAAGGCCTTTTCCGACCAAGTAGAGGCTCCCTGAGGCCCAGACTCAGACACATCCACCGTCTGGCTTCCAGAGTGAGCCTCAGCCTCAGCTCTCAAGTGTCCCCCATTCGCCTTGGACACCCAATGGTCGTGACCCTGCTTGGGGGTGACCTGTCTCCAGGGATGCTTGAACCTCTCCGTTTCTTGATGGCGCTTCCTCCAAGTTCACGTTCAGATGCAATCTTCACACACTGTGCTTGGGCTTTCTTTTTTGTCCCTGGGTAACAACTCTCAGATTAAACCAAGGGATCATTAGGGCTTGAACCAAGCTGGATAATGAAGTGGGGAATGGATTCGGGGCCCATCTGTGTGGGGCATGGAGGGTTCTTTGGGAGAGGAGGCGCGAGAGGGGCAGAAGGTGGTACTCAGGCTGGAATTAGGTAAGAAACTGGTGTCCTGTGAGGGCCGGCACCAGGGCTTCTCCGCCTTGGCCTCTTCTCCCAACGAGGCCACTAATTCCACCGATACCTGCTCTACCAGGGATGGAATGGAGGATGGAACAAAAGACGGGACAGGAGGGCAGGGTCTGGCCTCTACAGGTTGTCTTCCAGTGAAAAATACAGAGAAGATAATTCACAAACCAAAAGATAACAATGGCTAATACTAAAAGCTGTGGTAAGTGTTTTAAAGCTAAAAAGGCAGAGTCAAAGCAAGTTCTGCTTGGGGTGAGGTGATTGGGATGTAAGCGCTGCTCCCCAAAGAGGGAGGGTGGTCAGGCAGAGAGACTAGGGCCTCAAGACAAGAGAGAGGCTGGTGTGGTTCAGAAAGCCCAGTGACCCTCCTGGTTGGAACCTTGGAGGAAGAGTGATAAGCCTGCAGGGCCTTGAAGGCCACTCTCAGAAGTTTGAGTTTTGGTTTTGTTTTGTTGGTAGAGATGAGGTCTCACTAGATTGCCCAGGCTGGTCTCGAACTCCTAGGCTCAAGCAATCCTCCTGCCTCGGCCTCCCAAAGTGCCGGAATTACAGGCACACAGCAAACTCTTCAAATTCAAATGCCCAGGAACATGTTATAAATGTGCAGTGGCGGTTAAACCTCTTTGGTGTCCAACACTGGTGACTGTAGTGAGGGGTGACAGGCGTGAACCGCCGTGGCTGGCCGGAAGTCTGAGTTTTAGTCTAAACATGAGACACCTCTCAAGAGTTTTAACTTAATTTAATAAAAATAACATGATCCAGTTTTAAGAGTTTAAGAAGATCACTCTGCAAGCAGGATGTCGGAGGCAGTGAAGGAGGGAAGAACAGACCAGGGGGTGAGAAGAATGCTGTAATGGATAGGAGAGTGTGAAAGTGACTTGTGCCAGGGTGACATCAGGAGAGATGGACAGCGTGCACAAATCTGAGATGCATCGTGAGGGTAACATTGGGCAGACTTGGTGCTGGATAGATGTGGAAGATGAGAGACAGTGAGAGGTGATGATGACTCCTGGTCTCTAGGTGAGTATCAGGGTTGTTCACCGAGGTGGAGATATTTAAGGGGTGGTGGAGATAGGGAAGAAAATCTAGATTTGCAGTTAGGTACATGTTAAGTTTGAGATGTCAGAAACAGCCAATGACGATCCCAGGGAGAGAGGAGAAATATGCAAGTCTGGAGCGGGGAGGGGAGGTCTGCCATGGTGCATTCGTCCATGCGCCTAGACCAGATCACTTAGGAATCAAAAGAAGCCCCAAGACCCAGTCCTGAGCAACTAACATGCAGACATCAGATGAAGGAGAAAGACCCGTAAAGGAGGAAAGGGTGAGAACGAATGGTGGATGGTGTAGGAGAAATGCAGGATAAAGTTGTCTCGGGGGGCTGAGAGAGAAAAACACGTTTCTTGTGACACATGCAACCAGCAAGTCAGGACATGCACAGAGAAGCATCTAAGGGCTTGGTGAGATGGTCTCGCCATCGCAGCGAGCGCTGTGTCCCCGGTGTGCCAGGGACGGATTGTCATTTCTCATTCTTTTGTTGCCAGAAGCAAGTTAGGCCAAGCGTCCGTCCTACACGTGAAAGTCTAATCAGTGTGGGAAGGGTTTCCAAGGGAATCTCACATCTCCCCGCGGTACCAGCCAAGTTTAATTCCCTGGGAGCCCAGTCTGGTCCACCTCCTCCCCAACCTCTAGCTGCCAGGATGCCGACATCTTTTACTCCAAACAAAGCTTTCACTGTACCCTTGGGCCCACATGATAGTCTTTTTTTAATGCTGCTTGTCTCTGCCCTTTTTAAGACACAGTCATGGCCACATCTCTCAGCTGCTCATTTATTTTGATAACTGCATCCACAGTGAGGAGGACAGCTGTAAAAAAAAAAAAAAAAAAAGGACAAAAGCCTCATCATCATGGTATGGACGACCAGCAGAAAGAAAAATCTATGTACAAGCCACTAGATGGATGTCTTCGTTCAACTGCCTGGTTCAGAAAAAGCAGAGCGGGACAGTGCCAGCCTGCACAAACCCGTCAGAGTCACTCAGCGTTCACTGAACAACTGCTTTGTACGAGGACAAACCACAATCGTGACAATGGCTCCCATTCACGGAATACCTCCTCTGCGCCAGGCAGTCCGCTGAGTCTTACATATATTGAGTCTTGCATACATGGCTCGTTTAATTCTCACAACCGCCCTAGGAAGAAGGAAGGGTCGTTATCCTTCATGGGTGAGATAACCAAATCTCAGAAGTCCTTACTCTAAGTAACCGGCCCACGTGGAGCTAGGTTCAAGAGTGAGAAAACGCTGTCGTTGTCTACAGAATGTTTATATTAAATGTGGCGGGGAGGAGGGTCATTTGCCACAGGGGTAGGGTGAGTCAGATGCAGGGATGATTCAGGAGGGAGGAATAGAATCAGAAACCTGGGGGTCCTCCTTGGATCTTTTTCCCCTCCCAGGCCCCACAACTATACCACCAAGAACTGACAGTTTCGCCCCCAAATATGCCGTGAACCAGGCTGCTTCTCTCCATCTTCCCCATAACCACATCATTTGTCACAGCTGCCATCACTAGTAAGATGGACTCCCTGGACTCCTCGAGAGGCTTCTGGCTGGTCCTCGGCGGTCCTGCTGCCTCCTGCAAGCCTCCCTTCCCGCTCAGTCAGAGGGGCCTGCTGATATGCAGGTCCCACCTGCTCCGTGCTTGAAGCCTCCCAAAGGCTTCCAGTAAATCTCGTCTCCTCTTCATCGACTCAATGTCATGTGAGGCCCTGGAGGCAGCCCAAGTGGGCCTGGAGGCAGGTCTGGGTAGAGCAGTGGTTCTCTAAGCCGAGTGCGTGTCGTCAGCACTAGGAAAGCCTATTGAAACATAAAGTGTTGGCTGGGCGCAGTGGCTCATGCCTATAATTGTAGCACTTTGGGAGGCGGAGGTGAGAGGATTGCCTGAGCCCACAGGTTTGAGACCAGCATGGGCAACTTGGTGCGTCCTCATCTCTCCAATAAATTTTTTAAAAAATCAGCAGGGGCCGGGCTCGGTGGCTCAGCTTGTAATCCCGCTCTTTGGGAGGCCGAGGTGAGTGAATTGCCTGAGCCCGCGGGTTCGAGACC